GTAGCAGCTAGTTTAGGCATAGAGCTTCTGGTTACTTACATAGAATTCTTAGAGCTTCTGGTTGCTTATATAGAATTATTAGAGCTTCTGGTTACTTACATAGAATTCTTAGAGCTTTCTGGTTGCTTACATAGAATTCTTAGAGCTTCTGGTTACTTACATAGAATTCTTAGAGCTTCTGGTTACTTACATAGAATTCTTAGAGCTTCTGGTTGCTTACATAGAATTCTTAGAGTTTCTGGTTACTTACATAGAATTCTTAGCGCTTCTGGTTACTTACATAGAATTCTTAGAGCTTCTGGTTGCTTACATAGAATTATTAGAGCTTCTGGTTACTTACATAGAATTCTTAGAGTTTCTGGTTGCTTACATAGAATTCTTAGAGCTTCTGGTTGCTTACATAGAATTCTTAGAGCTTCTGGTTCCTTACACAGAATTATTAGAGCTTCTGGTTACTTACATAGAATTCTTAGAGCTTCTGGTTCCTTACACAGAATTATTAGAGCTTCTGGTTCCTTACATAGAATTCTTAGAGCTTCTAGTTCCTTACACAGAATTATTAGAGCTTCTGGTTACTTACATAGAATTCTTAGAGCTTCTGGTTCCTTACACAGAATTATTAGTGCTTCTGGTTCCTTACATAGAATTCTTAGAGCTTCTGGTTCCTTACACAGAATTATTAGAGCTTCTGGTTACTTACACAGAATTCTTAGTTTTTAAAACTCAGTATCAATAAATCATTATTTTTACATCAATCTTCTATTGTATAAATCTTTTGTTTCTTCACTATGATATTAAACTCCCTCAGAAATCTTTCAAACTTCCTTCTTTGTTTCGACAGATTTTTAATATTTATTAATCAGGAAAAAATCGTTTGTTTTCGTAATTTTTATTAAGAATTTCCTAAAATATAGCTACCTAGTCTCAACTGTTTTTATTTTTTATGCATGTTTTATAAACATGAATTTTGGTTATCAAATTTTTATCTCAACTTCAATTTCTACCGTTATTGTTTGATAACCACCTGTATATTTTCACTTAATGGAAAGCTACGTTTTATACACTCGTAATTTCTAATCATATTGTTACAGCCCACTTCCAGTCCTGTTCTATCTGATATTCGTGCACCTTAACAATTAACCTTGCAAGAGGCTCCGTCGTATGGCTATATCATGTCCAAAGCACACCACTCTTCCCTCTATCCAACAGAATAACTTAACAAGTTTCTCTAGCTGCCAGTACAACTTCCACAGTTCCATCTAGGCCTATCTATATTTATTTGTTTTACACACAAATAAATAAATAGGGTGACTACAGTTGCAAACGTTGACTTGAACGCTAAACATAAGCAGTGATTAAATGAGAAAACGGAATTCGTCAGCATTCTAACTCTTCTTATTTTTAGTTTGGGCTACTCTCTAAATTCTCATTATCTTACACTTTCCTTTCTTCAGACCTTAATTATCTTCATTAGCCTAAAACAACGAACTGTTTCGCAATCTTCATTTAGCCTAATTTAATGTTTGATAACAGTCACTTCTTTCGACCAAACTTTTATAAGGATGAGATAAAACAGTGATACAACACAAAGCAATTTAACTGAACAATACAAAACGATTTAACTGAACAATATGTTTTATTGTTCACTTAGTGCAAAGAATGTTCTTAGCTATCTGCATTCTGTCCACGCGGGAATCGAACCTCGAATTTTAATGTTTTAAACCCGTGAACTTACTGCTGGGACCTGAATTATTTGATTTAAAACTTAAAACTGTTTAATTTAAAAATGCAAAACGATCTGACTTAACAATAAAAAATAATTAACTTAATAAAACCATTTGATTTAACTATAACAATAATACAACAATACCAAACAACAATAACCTGCTACCGCACAGCATCATATTTTATAATGTTAAACAGAAAACAGCAGAATACATTTGTTTAAATATATTCATACAAAGACACATTCTCAAAGAAAAGATATTTTTAGGAGCAAACTTCTGACGAAGAGTCAGAACTGGTCACAGGTGGAAATGAACAAACTAAGGAGTAAAAACAGACTTGTGAGTGTGTGAATTTTCAGGTGATGTCAAAATAGCCAGCTTGGTTTGGATATAAATGACACGACCACACTTGGAACAGGTGGGTTTAATTTCTCCCCAGCTGTAATATTGTTGACAGAAGTCAATATGATACTCGAAAAAGCTTTCGTGATTTGTGGGAAGGTGGTGTTTCAGTTTTTCGTTTCTGACAGGTAACGAAAATAGTCCAACTCCAAAAGTGCGGTTGTCGAAACGTCACATAACTTGGTTATAATAAATCTAACTTTATCACGATCTCAAATCTTTCTTCCTAATGTCCAAAATTACCTCCTCATAAAAATATGATCTTTGTGAAAGAAAAGATCTGGGGAAAATCTCAACAATTTTTTCATGTAAATATACGTATGTTAAATGTCCTTTCAGACGTAACTAAATCTCTTCAACGTTTTGAGTGAAATTATAAAAACATTGTGAGAGTGAAACACGTTAAAACAATTCTTTAATTGTTAACATCACAAACATTGTGAGAGTGAAACACGTTAAAACAATTATTTACTTGTTAACATCACAAACATTGTGAGAGTGAAACACGTTAAAACAATTCTTTACTTGTTAACATCACAAACATTGTGAGAGTGCAACACGTTAAAACAATTATTTACTTGTTAACATCACAAACATTGTAAGAGTGAAACACGTTAAAACAATTATTCACTTGTTAACATCACAAACATTGTAAGAGAGAAACACGTTAAAACAATTATTTACTTGTTAACATCACAAACATTGTGAGAGTGAAACACGTTAAAATAATTCTTTACTTGTTAACACTACAAACATTGTGAGAGTGAAACACGTTAAAACAATTCTTTACTTAACATCACAAACATTGTGAGAGTGAAACACGTTAAAACAATTATCTAATTGTTAACATTACAAACACTGTGAGAGTGAACACGTTAAACAATTCATTAATTGTTAACACCACAAACATTGTGAGAGTGAAACACATTAAAACAATTCTTTAATTGTTAACACCACAAACATTGTGAGAGTGAAACACGTTAAAACAATTCATTAATTGTTAACATTACAAACGTTGTGCAATGAAACACGTTAAAACAATTCTTTACTTAACATCACAAACATTATGAGAGTGAAAGACGTTAAAACAATTATCTAATTGTTAACATCACAAACATTGTGAGAGTGAAAGACGTTAAAACAATTATCTAATTGTTAACATTACAAACACTGTGTAATGAAACACGTTAAAACAATTCTTTACTTGTTAACATCACAAACATTGTGAGAGTGAAACACGTTAAAACAATTCTTTACTTAACATCACAAACATTGTGAGAGTGAAACATGTTAAAAACAATTCTTTACTTGTTAACACCACAAACATTGTGAGAGTGAAACACGTTAAAACAATTCTTTACTTGTTAACATCACAAACATTGTGAGAGTTGTGTTGTATGTTACAGCTACATTTTGTTCAGTCTGATTTATATGACCCTTTCTTTATTAATACAGCACGTATCGTCCACTCAAGAATCTTTGTTACAATGTTATCCTTCAGTTAATTGATAGTTGCTATGATATGGCTGATATTGTTATCCTTCAGTTAATTGATAGTTGCTATGGTATGGCTGATATTGTTATCTTTCAGTTAATTGATAGTTGCTATGGTATGGCTGATATTGTTATCCTTCAGTTCATTGATAGTTCCTATGGTATGGCTGATATTGTTATCCTTCAG